TTCCTCCCCTTTATACGAGGCAATTAAATGCAAACAACCGTCTTCCTCTAACAATGACATGAACATTATCCTTTTGGTTTACAAGAAAAAAACCATGGATTTGTGTACTTCCACCTGCACGAGGGTTCGTTCTTGGACGACAAGGCACCACTTGCTGACTAACAGACCAACTAGAAGACAGTTGTTTGGAAACACCCGTTTCTATACGAGGCAATTAAATGCAAACAAACATTTCTTCAAAGATACGAGCAACCAGAAGAACAAAGTGCGCTAGTCCTCGTACCTTGCCTACTGCACAACGTTTTTCAGGTTTATGATTCACCAGAGGAACAAAACCAATAAATTGCCTATTCTAACCTACTGCCTACCGGTAGACTGCTAGAAACGAGAACTGTTTGTTTTTGTTCCTTTGGTGCCTTCTGCACCTGAAACAAGAACATCGTGGTTGGTTCATCAGTCGTCAACATCACACCTTTTGAATTTCATAATAGGTGAAGCTCATCGATTCAGGCAGCCCGTTATCTACCAGCCTCATATAAATTGCTGCCTCGTTTTACTTTCGTATCTTGAGGCTAAAACCCTTTCTGCGGATTGAAACTCGATAAAGATCAACCGGCCTGTCTCTTTTCGTACACCTATGTCCTGTTGCAATACAGAACCGAAATGAATGAAAATTCTCAATTACCTGGAGCTGGTCAACGCAGCCATCAGGCGCATCACCCTTTTGGAAAAAAGAAAAAAGAAGTCTGTACCGGTACACCATGTGCGCAACTTCAGACTTCTATTCTCCCTCTCCTGTCACTGGGCGTTAAGTGCTGGTTTTCCACTCTACATGCCCCAAACACTGAAACGAAGATATTTTCGCCTATTCACATGGCTACTCGACACAATTCACACACCCTTAAATCCCCAGTACTTCGCCCAGCTACAAAGTCCAAGCCTCGGCCAACTGGTATGTCGAGCCGCGTCAAGGCTCGAACTACCAAACGCTCACTTGCCAGCCTCCTTGAAAAAGAAATGGGAAAAAACGAGAAAAAAATAAAAAAGAAAAGAAAAAGCAAAACCTAATTTCCTGAACCGTATGTGCAAGTTTCCTCACGTACAGCTCTCACGGAGTTCTGGAAAAAAAGAAAAAACAGTATCTGGGTATAGGCACACCCAAGAGAGAGAGAGAGAGAGAGAGAGAGAGAGAGAGAGAGAGAGAGAGAGAGAGAGAGAGAGAGGCGGTGTTTTTTGCTGCAAGCTGCGGCCTTCTCTCTGCGCCCTTCCTGCAGCTCGCAGCGAAAAACACCACCTCTCTCTCTCTCTCTCTCTCTCTCTCTCTCTCTCTCTCTCTCTCTCTCTCTCTCTCTC